ATGCCATGTTTATTGAAGTCTGCTCTAGATACCCGCTAGAGACAATCTCCTCTATAGGTGCATAAGGTTGGCGTATAGCATCTCAAAGTCAGACAAGAGGTCTGAACATTAGAAGAAGATCCTTGAGATGTATAATATGTCGTTTTATGCATGTTTGCATGTGGTTATGATATGGGTGTGAAGGTTGATCAGCTACTGATGGTTGATCCTCTTTTTTCCCTTGCAAGAGTTTTGTTTGGACTACTATGAGTGTTGTCTCCAAAGCCATAGTTAATGGTTAAATTCATGTGTTTTAGGTTGATGTCTGAACTGATGTTGGAACATCATTTCAGTTCCTTGTTTCTTCAGCTGAGGAAGTTCTTTTTGGAGCTAATGATGGAGTGTAAGGTCAAGCCTATGACCTAATATGGAATTATGTGAATGACTGTTATGACTGTTTGTCATGAAGAAGAATCCTATGGGGGCCATTTGTGTGCAGAAGAAGGATGTCAGACCAAATGTTCTTCTATTTGTGAAGAGGACAACATTATCTGATGTTTATGTGTAAGGAAATTTTCCTTTGATAACAAATATCTTATCGGGAGCTGGGTATTAGTCTAATCTAGTGAAGATATGCATGTGACTGATGGTAAAGACCTTGTCGGGAGCTGGGTATTTATTTGATGGTATATGTAAGTATGTAATTTGAACACTATGTTTCAGATAGTGTGTAAGAGTTTATTTCTCTCCATGTTATTCAGGTGTTTGTGATAACCTGAATGAGTATCCCTGGCTGTGTTTCTTTTTTGGAGCTTCTTGAAGGACGTTTCTGTATAATAAGTCCTTTGGATAGTGATTTAATAACCAAAGTGATTGAGTTCTATGATGTGAAACTGATGTCCTAAAAGATGTTGTAACATCATCCTTGGTAATTTTTTTTGGAAGATGTTTGGGTTGTGGATGTGGAGTATGGTGCCCAGCAATATGTCAGAAGAAGAACTCCTAACTGGGCGAATTAGGATGAGAAGATTCTGATCTTGTTTATAGTAGTATGTTCTGGAAACATGACTAATATCAGTTTATAGACTCCATTAGTATCAGCAATTGCTAGTGGATATAAGGGCAGAGGAATGGTGTCAGATAGGATGATCTGATCAAGATGTTTTAAGGAGGTGTTTTTTTTTTTGCTTCAAGTAACTCTAGAAGAGAGTGTGTCAGTCTGGATCTCAGTAAAGCTTTTAGGCACACTTAGAATAGTTGGAGGTTGTAAGTGAAAACTTACCAAGAGTGCATGACATCTTGAATATCCAAAGAATCATGATACCTTGTGTAGATTTGTGTGAGTTTTCAGTAGATGTGTTAGGGTGCTTAGATGTGTTCAACATGAGTGTGAAGTGGTTGCCCTCCATTGTGAAAGTATGAAGACTTTCATGTGTTCTTAACCTGTGCTCAAATGTCATCTTTAGTAGGAGATCTGGTTATCCATGACAGGGGGAGTTAGGTCCTGTCTATCGATGGTTGCTGCAGTGAGGCAGAAGTTTTTATGAGGTTTTCATGTCAAACAACATGTTGTGACATTAGGCTGCGGAATGTTATTATGGTTTGTGCTTATTAATGATGCATGGTTAGTTCTAGCTTTGTGAAGCTAGTTGTTTGAATCATGAGTACACATACTTCTTAGGAGGAGTCTGAAAGGAAGTCTTGTTTGTGTCTGGGATAAATTATTTTCTCTGCAGAATTTGGAAGGACTCCATGAAATTTTTTTTGTTGAATGAGAGTTGTCACATGTGATGGTCTTGATATTTTTATTTGTGTTGGTCAGTGGAAGACATTGTGTTTATGCTTCAGAACATGAATATTTTTGTGAAGCATCTTGATATGATAGTGGAAGATGTGTGATCAAGTTTTTTTTAAAAGAAAGAAGACAATGTCTGACTGGATGTCAGAGTACTTTTTAGGACATGTTTTCTCCTTGAGCCAAGCAAGGAAGTGTTATGGACAATGTTGCCAGGAGGATATGTAAAATGTAATTTATGTTTCTACATGTGCATTTATTGGAATTATGAAGACAGTCAGAATCTATCTTGGATGGTGAATATTTTATTTGGTGATCTCCCTCAAATAACGTTCTAATTGACTAAGATCGTTATTTCCTAAGAGAATTGCTTGACTATTTATAGAGATAAATTCTTCATCTTGTGGGGGTTACTCTTTTTCTATTCTTATGGTCTGTGTCCAGATGAGAGGACTTTGTTTGTCAATTTTTGGCCAAAAAGGGGGGAGAGAAATTTTATTCACCTGTGAGTCTGAAGTTTGCTTTTGAACCAGTTTCACAAGGATGTAGAATACACTATTCTGTTATGAGTCTGTTGGTTTTAATATTTGTGACTTGTGATCTGAGTTATGAATACACTTGTGACTTGTGTTCTGAGTTGCCCGAATTGAAGGTACTATGGGTGTTGTTTGAAGACGTGTTGTTAGTTTGAGGGGGAGTGTACACCAAATGTCTCCAGAAATTTCTTCCCAAATTATCCTGAGAGGGCTGTAATGGATTGGTTCGAGCTACTGTGAAGAGATATTGGATATGATGTTCTGACATCAATCAGACTGAGTATATTACTTCTCCTTGCTGCCTTTGCCATATTTTGACTAAAAAGAGGGATAAAGATCATGCGTTGAGATCATGTGTGGAACTGGAGTGTTGGTCTGTCATGAAGAAGTCCTATTGTTGATATTGTGACATCATGTGTGAAGACTGAAGACTATCACAAGTGAAGACTGAAGACTGAAGACTGTGGCTACTATGATGTTTTATTTTTATGGTTGCTGCTGAATGTATTGTTTGTTTGGCCTTTTCCTTTGGTTTATGTTCTTATTTGTATGCAAATGTTATGTAAATTAGTTTTAGCCAAAATAAGTCAAAGGGGGGAGATTGTTAATTCTCTAATTTTATGATTGACATTATGTTTGGTAAAACTAATATAGCAATAATATGTTAAATATGACATGTTAACTTGTTGGGAAGAACAGGTGGAACAAGAAGTTCTATTTTATATTGAGACATGTTGAGATGAGAAGTTCTCATCATCTGGAGCAACATGTAGAATAAGATGTCCTATGCAGGCTCATTCAACATTGTGCATGTGCTGAGCTGAACAACTGGATTCTGTTATGATTTAACAGATGAAGAATATTATGGGAATATTATGCAATCCTATGTGGCGCTGATTTAAAGGTATGGAAGAATCAAGAAGAATTTGAAGAATATTGACTTTCTAAATAAGGAGACTTTTTAGGAAAAATCTGATTGAAGACCTATTTTGTTATAGAATCTTCTGTAGATTTGTAATAGCTGATATGCTGTGATTTGAAGCCCAAATTCAATTGGGAGATAAGTTATGAATATAAGCATTATAACTTAGAAAAAGGTACCAGCCATGAATAAGAAAGATGAATAAGAAAGATGTAACTTAGATCAGTGATTGTAAATAACACATTTACAACAACACTATATACAACAATGTCTGGACCCGCATGATTATATGAGTTTTCCAACGGTTGCTAAATAAACTTTCTGTAGTAGTGGGGGTCTCATATCTAAGTGAGTCTTAGATAGAAGTATAACACAGATAGTGATTAAGTGAGAAGTTGTAAACAAATGGAGTTTAATTTCGATTTGATACTATTATAGTGGACTTGTCCTAGCTTAATATGCCTCCAGAATAAGAGAGTTGCTCCGAACTATGTTAATAATTTTGTGTATTGTTTATGTTTTTCAGTATTATTTTTATATGTTTATATCTTACCTGTATGTTTTGTTCGAATTCAGATATCTGAACATATTATAAGACATCTGAAGTCTGATATATCAGAATTTCAATTAAGGCTTATGTTAGTTTATTTTTCTTCAATTTCAATTTTGTTTCTATCCCTTACTTGTAGCTTTAATACTCATTTCAGCAAGTTTTCATTTCAGCAAGTTTTAATATTTTCATCTAAATTCCTTTCCTCAAGAGCTGTATATTTTATAAAAAGTAGGGGTGACTTTTGTTTAGCAAACGGGTATATGTTTTTATAGATAGCAAGAGCAATACTTTTTAATAAAAATACGGGCTACATTTATTTATATTGTTCAATCAATGTCTTCCTATTTATATTCTGATTACCATCTTGAATAAACTTTATGCCTTGCACGTATGTTGTTTTGTTTTATATAAATAAGACATTGAACAAGTGAGCAATGTAAATTTTGGAAATTTTACTTTACTATAATTGACCAAAAATACAATGCACTGCAAGAAAAATAATATACTGTGACACTCATATTTAATGAAAGCGTGATTTTTATCACTAAATATTACTTTTACCTACAGCTATTTCATTTTCTAAATTTTTTTTTTAGGCAAAATATCCTTTTTAGTCCTTTAAGTTTACCTCAAGGTCTATTTTGGTCCTTTATCTAAAAAAAGTGTCAAACTGGTCCTATAATTCTTTCAAAAGGACCATAGGAGTCCTTTCCGTCCATTTTGATCCTTTTTGGTTCATTGAAGAAGCTGCAAAATGAGTTTGATAGAGCAAATATGGAGATACATCATCTAAAGGAAAGGAAGGATGGACTGAAACATAAGATAATGGAGTTACAAATTGAAATAAAGAAGGATGGGCTGAACCAAAAAGGACCAAAATGGACGGAAAGAACTCCTATGGTCCTTTTGAAAGAATTATAGGACCAGTTTGACACTTTTTAGATAAATGACCAAAATAGACCTTGGGGTAAACTTAAAGGACTAAAAAGATTATTTTTCCTTTTTTTTTTAATATGTTTGTATTATGAACTAATAATATTTTGATATAAATTATAAAATTATTATTTTCACTAAAAAAACACAATACTTAACTGTTTTTACACTGTCAAAACTGTTTTTTATTCCGTCATTACAAGAAAATGGAAAAGCGATTATTTTCGGATGCGATTATTTTCCTCTCAACCGGAACAGTAGCTTCTGTTCGAATAGTGGAAAATGGAAATAGGAACAGAAGCGCCAAAACGTGCTTATTTCGGAAGCGATTCTAGAATTATCGGCACAGGTTTGGTGTTCTGAATTTTCAGATTTTGATTTTAAGATATGGTGTTTTGGTAAGCTATTTTACGGTTTCGACACACTTAAGGGTATGCTATAACTTATGATTCTGAGCTGTTTTCTTTGCAAATTTGGTTGTGAATTAAACAGACACCATACATAACGATAAATTTGCTGAGTACTTTCCCGGATGAAGCGATGAGGAGAATAAAAGGCAGCTTTCGATCTTGCTCACAAAGTGTTCGATAAAATGCCTCTGCCGGTTCTTTCTTTTTTTTGCTTTTGTTTCAGTTCAATTCTTGCTACAACATTGTTGTTCTGTAGTTATTTGTTGTTGTTGTAGATTGTGGTTGACGAATTGATGGAGAATTGGTGTTGAATTTATCATTTCGCGCTATGCCCACCAAGTATTCGGTAAAAGTTATGAACATAGATTCTTCTTTCTTTATCTTGTTTTTGCTTTGCTGGAGTTTTGATAATTGAACATTGCATCTCTTACTACCATTAGTTTGGAGAAACTTAGTTTTAATTCCAAATTAATTTTCAATCATTGAGATTTGACTTGTAATAAGTATATGTGAGTATATATTGAATAAGCATAAATGAAGTGCAAATAACATTTCATTTTCACTCACTTGCAGCTTCGAGTCACATCAACAAGACCAATCTAGCTTTCAGATTTCTGATTCTGTTACCACCATCCCTACCTGCCACTACTTTCTTGGTAAGACTTCTATTCTGCAAGCTTTCCTTTATTATTATGGTGTGACTTAGTGAAGGACATCTTTTAAATCATCTCCGCACTTGTAGAAATATTGGAATAGCCATGTTTGTAAATTAATAGATAAACTGTTTCAAGTAAGTTTTTATGAAAATGAGATGAAAAAAATACTTTATCCAATTTTATTTTATTGGGGTTGTTATAACCGTGTTAGACAGTTACAGGGCTGTATTATAATGTATTAAGCGTACAATAAGATCTCATGAGCTTGTTGTTAGTTAAACATAATTTTACTTGTACAATAGTATAAGTTCCATAACTAATTTTTATGAAAACCCAAATACACACTCATTATAAATGAGCTATGCCTTTGATATTACATGCAAGTATGAGAACATGGCTATTTTAGTCAGTTTTACATAATAGCTAGTGCATTTCTAAATCAATATGGTTGATAGATTTCTTTTACTGGTAGCTAGTGCATTTCGAAATATACATGCAAGAACCTGGCAGAATTTGGCAGTTGATGTTTACAGTATCACTACTCACATCCATGTGGGCCTCCAAAGTGTTTATATGAGTAACTGTTTTTTTCTTTTGGAGAGTACAGTAATATTGTACAAGCTCTAAAAAGGGGCGATCCTTGACGTGCACTCCAAGATCACGAGGACTGGTAAATTTGCTCATCAGTGTTTCATAATGAGGATTGTTGTTCCAAAATTTGCTCTAGAGAATAATCAAATTCATATTTATTGTAGGTTCTTGAGATCAGGTGTATAACTTGTCCTAGAAAAAATAGAACTTCAAGTATTCCAGAGATTAGTACTATCAATTTGTTTATATCTTTCAAAAAACAAATAAAGGAAGGTATTGTTGTTTTTGCTTGCAGGTAGAGTGCATAATGGCCATGCTCATATTCAAGAATCTCGTGAAAGGTTACTTTGCCCATAAAAGCAAAGTGGCTGTATTAAGCAAGCAAGACCCTTTCCCCAAGTTAAATGGAAAACCTGTCAGTTCATAGGGACCAAGACATCACTCGAGATTCTAAACTTTGAGGTGCAAGAGAGTCTGGTAATTTCACGAGAGGGTTCTTCATAAGTTTGTTGTATTGTATGTTCAAGAACCCCCAAATGTATTCTTGTTGTTAAAATATCGCAGCATTGCTTCTGTTTCAAAACAAGCTCTTGCCTAGTAGATATGATATACTTGTTCTTGAAATTTGGAGCGTGGTTTAGTTTCCACTTGTAGGGGTTGTATACCTCATAAGCGCTACTAGTGGAAGTCACATTCCTAGTTGCAATGACCTGTATTTTTAGCTTGGATATTGTTCCCGTTGACATAATTGTTATCTATTGAATTATTTCGGTTGGAATACTCCTTATGTCTTTGAGGTCTCAGCTACTTATGGCGTCTTTTTTACTACGTTGATTCTTCCATACTTACAATGCAAAATTGTCAGCATCCTAAGTATCTTGCTTGTAAGTGTTTGTTGGCAACAATTTTAGGAAAACACTGATTTGATAATGTTTTGTTCAATGTCTTAATATTTGAAGTAAATTGGTTTTGAATGATGTCAAAGCAGATGTCTTGACATCTGCCTCCTGATCTAAACGTGACTTCATATTTGTTTATAATATTCTGTTTTCTGTTTTTATGCGCGTCATTATTCAGGATTTGTGACTCATAGCTTGCGAAAAATATGGAGAAATATTTTTCGATATGTGTTATCTTTATGGATTATATCTTGGCCTGTTTTCATGGAAATATTCAAGGGATTGAAATATTTGTTTTTCAGCCCAAATCCACTGTTGCGCCTTTATAAGGACTTGTATCCTTATTCGTTTGACTGCAACTTTTGAAGAAGAATATATTCTTTCTGTTTTAGAAGTCTAAGTCTTTTTAATTGTAATATACTCTAAGTATTGGTTTAATACTTGAGTTGTAATTTAAGTTGTTAATTGTGGATCATTCATAAGCTTTTAAGTATTGAATGATTGAAGTCTTTAAAACTTAATATTTCTGTTGTTCTTCACTGTTAGTGATCGAAGGGATTTGAGGAGAGTCTCATGCCTAAGTGTGTCTTAGGTAGAAGTATAGCACGGGTAGTGATTAAGTGATTAGATCGTAAATTGGTTGTTTACTGAAGGTCTATGAATTTGTACTATTTAGTGGATTTGTCCCTAGCTTGGTAGCCCCTAGAGTAGGTGTTGTTGTACACCGAATTGGGTTAACAACCCCTTGTGTTTTTACTACTTTTAATATTGTTGCATTTTATATTGTCCTCAGATATTTGTATCGTGACATCTCATTCGAAATCACATATCTGATACCAGAATTTTAATTGGTATCAGAGCGGGCATCCTGCTCTATATCTGGGTGAGATCTAGGGAAGATATTTTCTGGTACTATGTACAAAGAAGGGGGATTTGTGAGCAGACCACCCATTCTAGATGGAAGCAATTATGACTATTGGAAATCACGTATGGTGGCCTTTCTAAAGTCTCTAGACAGCAGGGCTTAGAAAGTTGTATTAAAAGGATGGAAACACCTTGTCACATTGGGAGAAAATGGAGAACCTACTTCTGAGTTAAAACCAGAAGAAGATTGGTCTAAAGAAGAGGATGAAATTGCTCTTGTAAATTCTAAAGCCTTGAATGCTATATTCAATGGAATTGACAAGAACATTTTTAGATTAGTGAACACATGTGAAGTAGCTAAGGATGCCTGGTGTAACACCCCAATTCTACCCGACAATATAAATGTAAATCAGAGTTATAAAAATTATACAACTGAATCAGGATGCCATAAATTCAACTGAAAGTCATTGCATTCGATATGAATACATAACACTTTAAAATTTCGGATGAACCAACATCAAAATAAATTAATCTTTTAAATCAACAACTTAAACAACTACGCAGCGGAATCATAATAACATCTTTATCCAACATGAAAGCAACTTCTGAATAACAAGTACTTAACAACAATCTACTTAAAATCCAACAACTGAAATAACAAATACTAAAGCAACAAGTGTTCATCCCCTCGAGTGTTACGTATCAGAGCAATGACACTGACTCGAACTACTGCAAGTCAACCACCTTCACTCTGGATTACATGCACGTTATCAACATAAGGGTAACATTCAAACAAAAGGGGTGAGATATCGAACACTATAATAGAACGTATGATAAATATTACACTAGAATCAGTTCATGCAAAAATCACCACTTCACAACTTATAAACAACAACCATCACAACCGGCTATCAAGAAAACACAACAATTAATTCATCATCACAACAACTCAATTATACAACTCGGAATGCGACTCAATACTATGTGAATGCATGTGGTACCATTGGAGTAGAACTCCCATCTTAAAAACGGAGCAGAACTCTCATCTTAGAAATTGTCAATTAATAGAGGCATCAACAAGGCATAAGCCCTCTTCGCAGTTTTCCAATTTAGGTCATCACAAAGTATACAAATGTATGTGACTCAATGAATGCACTATCACATACTCACAACAATCATCATCCATCATAAAGCATAAGTCCACATCACCATTATTACCAGTAAATAGAGGTAATTCATCATCATGTAAATTCCTTGCAACTTCGCATTATCAACAAGAATTCACAACATCACAACATCACAACAACTCAACATAAATCAAAATTGTCCATAAGCCTATCACATCAATCAACGATTAAATCATTAACATAATTAAACAGTAACTTAACATAATTCACACAACACGGTTAACGATAAAAAACAGTATGTACGGGCAAAAGGGATAAGGAACTACGTGCCCCTCGATATTCACGACATCTAGGAGAACATAACAACTAATATATACTCCTCGACACGCACTGAGAAAAACATGGAAACGACCGACCTATGCTCCTCGACACGTCCTGCAACCTAATTCTGCTCGAAAATCCAACAGATCATTCCCCGACACGCCTCGCAGCCTAAAATGTCGCTCAGTACCTACTACTTCAGTATCCTCCCTGACCACTAATTCGGCCAACAACACAGTCTCGATATAACGTCTTAACGACCACACCACTATAATTCATAACTTCCAGCCAATCGCTCGGAATAACACAGTACGGGCAACTATATTCCTATCGACAGATTCGTTTATTATACAAGACCGACTACAACAATAATTCCTAGCATTGTAACGGCCATACCCTCATAACGACCACAACAACAGGAAACAATATACACTAACCTACTCATCGATTAAACCGAGCAGTCACACAGTTTCATAAAACATCCACAACACTCAACCGGGAAACTTCCTAAATTGGATTCATTAAACGGTCTTACAGTTCTTCCTAACGGCCACAACATGAATAAACGAGCAACTTCGATAGTAATTCAGAACATCCACGCACAACAATCATAAAACGTTCAATTTTCACGTAATACACATCATAAGTTCCATTATAAGGTCAGAACCCCATCCTTACTTGGATTGAAGGTCACTCAACCAAAGTCTCTAGCCGATGGCTTTGCTTCGCTCTACTCGACACCGAGCAACTTGCTCCTTGTCCGCGCAGCTCTACCGGTCAGCGTACAAAAATCCTTATTCTCTCACTAAAACAAATCCTTGTGTTAGCTTCTCCTTATATAACAATCCTCTTGGACCTAACCTACACCCCCACTTTACTACTTCTAACCAATAGCATAAGTACAACATTATTTCATATATTCCTTTTAATTCATCATTATAATTATTATTAATCAACTAATTAATTAATTAATAATAATTCAACAACTTATATCAATAATTCTCAACATCTCGCAACTTTACAAATAATCCAAAAATAATTTAATTAAATAATTAATTAATTAAATTACGGGCGTTACAACTCTCTCTCACTTATAATATTTTCGTCCTCGAAAATTTACCTCATTCAAACAACTCAAGATAGGAGTCCCGCATCTTGCTTTCCAACTCCCAAGTCATGCTTTCTCCAGTAGCTCCTAACCAGACTACTTTCACCAAAGCAATCTCCTTGCCTCTCAGAGTCTTCATTTCACGATCTGTGATTCGTACAGGCATCGTCTCAACAGTAAGATTATCCCGTACTTGTACATCATCCATATGAATCACATGAGATGGGTCAGAAATATACTTCCGGAGCTGTGACACATGAAACACATCATGCAAATTCAAAAGATTAGACGGTAAAGCCATTCTATAAGCAACATTCCCAACTCTTTCTGAAATCTGATATGGACCAATAAAACGAGAAGTGAGCTTTTAAGACTTCAACGCTCGCCCAACACCAGTCACAAGTGTAACTATAAAAAACACATGGTCACCAGCTTGAAATTCTAAATCCTTCTTTCGCTTATCATGATAACTCTTCTGTCTACTTTGAGAAGTTTTCATCTTTTCCCGAATCATCTTCACCTTCTCAGTAGTCTCATGAACAAGTTCAGGTCCAAGCACTATACTTTCTCCAGATTCATGCCAACATAAAGGAGTTCTACATCTTCGACCATACAACGCTTCAAAAGGTGCCATCCCAATACTAGAATGGTAACTGTTATCATAAGTGAACTATATCAACGAAACATAAGTATCCCACGAACCTCTCTGTTCAAGAACACATGCTCTCAACAAATCTTCCAACGATTGAATAGTCCTTTCTATATGACCATCCGTCTGAGGATGATATGCCGAACTCAATCTCAACTTAGACCCCAACGCCTCTTGCAAACTCTTCCAAAAATCATAAGTAAACCTCAGATCTTTATCTAACACAATGCACAAAGGAACACCATGCAACTTCACAATTACACTAGTGTAAATCTCTGCCAACTTCGACACTGGAAAACTGATGTTAATAGGAATAAAATGATCCGACTTTGTAAGCCTATAAACAATCACCTAAATCGAATCATGTCCTCTTAAAGTATTAGGTAACCCCGTCACAAATTCCATCGAAATGCTATTCCATTTCCATTCTGGAACTTCTAACGGTTGCATCAGCTCTGC